TACAACGCTATTTATTGGTGCGCGTTGGCCAATATTACAACAAGACTTGTGGCCGAAACGCTTCTACAACGCTATTTATTGGTGCGCGTTGGCCAATATTACAACAAGACTTGTGGCCGAAACGCTTCTACAAATGATTTTAAAATATTTAAAAATATGGATCAAGTTTCAAATTAGGTATTTATATATATTTCAATCCCAGCGGATGATGCTGTCTTAAGTTTTTGACTCATCAATTTGTTCTATGTTTCACCATGTAATTTAAGTAATAAATACAGACTTTTAAGTTTACATATTTCAAAATTTGTATGATATGTTTTTAGAATCTTTCAACGTATTACATAAATAAATTGAACATGAATAACTCATCATTCGTTTCTATTAGATTAATATATTCGTCTTAATTTAATGGTTTGAATTGAGAAAAACCAACGCTATGATTTTATCTGTTTGTTTGTTATTAAGCACAAAGCTCTTCAATAGGTTATCTCTGTTGTGACAACCACGAGTATCAAAACCGGAGACACTGAGGAGCTGGTTCTATCTGTTCACTGTGATTTGAGTGTCAGACGAAGTAAAGGCTTACATTCAAATAGTCTAGCAACTGGTTCTGTTTCTGTAATTGACCTCCTAGATCTTGTAAATATCTTAAACTTGTATAGCTCAACACTCCTAGTACTATCTGTCTATAAGACAACAAAGAACCGTTTCGAAATTTCATATCTAAGTGTTTCATTCTCATTGTGATCTATGAGGTAAATCAAGTAAAGTTTTTCATCTTTCATATCGAAGTATTCGATTCTGAGCACGATTTCCGTAACTTCGGTAAAAACCATAAGATTAAGTATTTAAATAGAGGATTAGATTTTCTGTACTTTGTCAAATCGATGTGCTGAACTTAAAAATAATTCTATTTTCACTCTTAATCTGTGTAAAACTTTAACTATGTGATTTCTGTATTTTTGCTTAGAATTCTTTTATATCATTCATAAACTCTAACATCAAGTTGAACAGTTAATAAAACATTATCGAAGGTTTCGTTATAACTTGGTATCATATCCAAAGTTTATGAAGTTATGAAAACTTAAAGTATTAAATAAAACACTTTGAAGTGTTTTTAACCAGAAATTCGGCTTTAAGCAGGTTATGAAATACATACAATTAATAACAGTTAAGTACATGGTAAACAAAGAATAAATAAACAATTCTTCACTCTTGAAAATCTATGGTTGATGTAGGTAGAAGGAATGTTTACGAAATATATTTGTTTAGGTTCAAATATAATTTTAGTATAATAATCCAAATATTTCATTGAACTGTTATATTTGGACGCAAGGTGAACCGAATAAGACACAATTAAATAAATGCACAATAGACGAGCATATTAGATTATAACTAATTTTGTTTATTTTTATTTTAAGTAGGCTTACACGTACCGTTACAATATCTTTCCTTTTTGTTATTATCAATCGTTTCTGGAGTAGCAAGGCACGCAGAATGGTCTCCGCAGAATGGCTGGATTTGAACTCTGCCATACGATTCATTTATTTCCTGCAGGAGAATTGAAAGGAGATGAAACAAGATATTTACATATAAATTCAGTTCAGTTGATTTGACAAGCAAACGGGTACACAAACAGATGAGTTTACACATAATAGTATATTAAAATGTGATATATATATCCATTACAAACCATTTGATAGTTTTGTGAAAATTGAATGGCTAGTTCTAGGAGATATTGTCAGAAATATAAACCTTAATACCTGTAATTCAGTTTCTGTGGCACAATATTTTATGTGGCACAACAACAGGTGTTTGATTTTTAGACAATGGTTGTCCTCTTTACATGAAGTGAAAAATAGGGATTCTCTTTTACGCTGCATGTGGTTAATTCAGTAAAACCAAGAGAGAATTATTTTTGTACCGTCTAGTATATTTCGCATACCGTAAAAAGAACCATAGCAACAACCTTGTGCTTTACTCATTAAACACACAACGTATTTTCTGTTTTATTGCGTCCAGTAACAAGTCTGTAATTCACGAGTGATGATACCATGTAACCATGTAACTCGCTTGTTCTGTAGTAAACCTGTGGTTTGTTAGTGAACATACCACAGAAACAAATTTAAAAGTTTAACAGTGAAGCTATGTTTTTCTTGTAAAAGATATTACAACAAAAAGCTTGAACTAGATAGTCTTGTCATTTAAGATAAGAAAAATAGTCATAAGTCCTCTAATAAATGCATAGCTTCTTTGTGCAAAAGAAGCATAAACCATTTTGTCCAGCTATTCAATAAAGAAAATATAAAAGACATTAAACTCAAACCTGAATTTCTTCATCTAACAAGGCCATTAATATAATTTTGTTATTTCCATGAAGAATATCGTGAAAACTAGGTTCAAATCTTGTGAGGTATGTATTATTTCACAAATCTTTCAGACTCCTAGCATTACAAATGTGGTTTCTCTTGCAACCAAGCAATTAAACCAGATTTTTTTTTCGTTCATTTTTCTAGTAAATAACAAGTGCCTTATAAATACTATTGTAGAAATCTCACAAGTAAGAAGTATTGTAACAATCGTGTTATTTTCATGTAAAGTAAACAGGGTTCTCTTTTATTGAATCATTGTGAAATAAAACGTTGAGCTGTTAAATAAAGAGATTGTCCAGGATTTTCTGCTAGAGCAGTCTCGCGTAAACCTATATGAATTCATGATAAACAATCTGGAAAATTTACAGATATAAATCAGTTGTCTTGTTAACAATTATAAGCCTAAAATTTCCTTTTCTAAAACACTCTACTAACGAGTGTGCTGCTGTAGACTTTGTGATCTATGAGATGTTTTAAAGATGACTGTGTCGTAATAAACTTTTACCACTGTATGAACTATTATAGTTTGGTTTGGATTATTTCTAATATTCGCACAAATCTACACAGATATCTTTGTTAATTTGGATCTGGTATATACTAGAAGGAATACAGCTAGTCAACAGCACCCACCGCTAACTCTAATCGAATAGTAGGATTTAACCGTCACTCGTATGACACACCTACGGCCCATGCGCTCTTTGCGTAAAGTGGTTTTTCCGGTAACGAAACAAGAAACATGGACCCTCGGATCACTTTTCCGGCACACTAACCACTTGGTCATGCCCAGCTCATATAGTATTATAGATGTACTATATCCTATGAACTACTGTAAGGATATTTGTTTGTGTATCATAATCATTCTTACTTATTTTAAGCTTTGTATATCATAAGCTTATACAACTATGTGTAGCTTCTCAGTAGGTTTACTAATTAGTAAGTTATTTTAGGCTTAATATTTAATAAGTATGGGATTATTAGTAGTGAGGAGAATGGAGCGGCAGAATCAGAATGTTCTCTAAATTGCCATCAAACTTAGATTCTATGAACAGTGGATATGCTGCCCTACCGTTCTGAGTGTTAAATCCCTGGTTGATGACTGTAACGCCAGATGTATAGTTTCGTTTCAGAACACGTTTCAAAGTCCATGTGTATGAAGTGTGATTAACGTTCGGTAACCTGGCCAATATTTCACATTGGCACGTTCAGTAGTCTTTCATCACATCAGCAGCTAACTCACATTGGATGTATGAGTAGGTGAGATGAAATGTCTGGAACACCCATACCCGAAAAGCAACGTCGTTCTCTGTTAGTTCCTGAGTTACTTTCCTCAGAACATTTTGATACTAACTGGCATGTTTTTACCAGTTGCTGACCTTCACAAATTCCAAATCCAAAATACAGCATCCAAATAATCATGTATCTCTGATTGTTATTCAACCCCGGCTTTCATGTCATCTTGGTTCTAATTGGTTTATCCGCGACAGCTGCTGACCTATACAAACCCTGCGAAGTAGTGCACAGTAGCATTTTCATGATAATTCAGCGGACACGGACCCCCCCCCCCCCGGTAGGTGGGATATGTTGTTTCAATACATTTGCTAATATAGGCGTTTTAGTGTACAGTGAAGGGTAGCTGACCAGTATATTACTATGAGCTTACTAGTAAATGGCTCAATATACACTTATTCACCTCTAGTTTCTTGTCACACCCGCATTGTGGTTTTATCTGGTTAAGCTACGTATTTATCATTGTAATATTGACAGTTGAGTTTAAATATATGTATTACTATATACATCTGATGTGTGTACTATTATTAGTTTGTGTGTTATTATAAGACTAGCAGATGCCCGTTGACACAATTCAACGGTAATTTTCCTAAAAACAATGAGTTTAGTGATTAATAAATACAAAATGTGCAATCAACCCAATCCCTTGGATCAGAGCGTTTATGCAATATGATGATCTAGAGCAGTGCTTCTCAACTGGGTGAATGGTTAACGAGATCAGAATCAGGATGAATGAGAATGATGGGGTGAATGGCAGGGTGAGTGAGTATTATCAATTATACAACAAATTTAAGAAAAAAGTGATTAATTATTCTAGTCGTAGTTTGATGTATAGTTAAGTCATAATAAAGAATTGCAATATAATTTAGTACTTTTTGGTCTTTTTTCGAACTTGGGTGAGTGAGCTGTTGTGAAAAACTTATAGGAGTGAATGATATTAGAAAAGGTTGAGATGCACTGGTCTAGTGGACCGTTTAAAATCGTATTTTGTCATTTCATGTGTTATTACAATAAGGAAAATTGTACTGCATTTGTTTTTAAGCAAAAGTGACTGACTGTAATGTAAGTTTTTGGTACTAATGTTTGGGTTTCGATGCTATGAATGCATCCAACAGAATAGAGAGCTCAGGTTCAATAAGTAACAGCGGGGATTTTTCCGCTGGTTGCTACCGTTCCTTGTCATTTTACTGAGCGCAAGAAAAGACTACTACCAAAGAGAGCGCTTTTTGACAGTTGTGATTTCTAAAGAAGTGTCAAAGGGAAGATATTCAATTAAATTCAGATAAATTTATTCGACATGGTACAATAAAATTGTGCACTATATAATTCCGACATTAAAAAATAATATATATATACAAACCGAACAACAAAAAGTATATACTCAAACACAGTCTTCTCTTTAGGCGTATTTCCCGTTCACGCTGATATCTTCGAAATAGTTGTTTCAATCAGTCGACGTAGGAGGGG